AGCCTTAATATTTTGGAGGAAAAATAGAGGGAAGTGAGCTTTTGAGAGCTCTTCTGGTTATTTAAAGCTGGAGTTTAATCCTCCCACGTTTTTGAGGTTACAGCCCACACTTTGACAGTTTGGGAGAATTTGAAGGACATCGTAATGATGTGAAGCCTCCGTTTGGGGAACGTGCCCACTAATGGTGCGCGGCTAAATAAATTGGGCGGGATTATGAAGCGGGTCACCTCCCCGGGTCGGATCGTACCTAGTAGGTTACGCGTCAAGCTTCCTCGATGCAGCATAGGTCGAGACTGGCACGTTTAACTTGGGCCTGCTGGACATATTTTTGGACCAGTTTGGTCCATTACTCTTGAGCCTATTCCAAGTAAGTTTATCTTGTGTCAAGTATTGTTTATCCAGTACAACTAACACTTGACAGGTGCACTTGGAGAGTCCATATCCGTTACTGACATTGGACCGGCCCATTAACCGCATAGGAGGTCCAACCAACTCTGATCAGGTGGTTTAATAACCCGAAACCTAGTAATATTCGGTTATCTCACAGGTGCTTTCATGCCTATAAATAGGATTGGTCACACCACAATAGGGGTAAGCAATCTCTAGCTTAACATACTACACCTGCAGACGTTCTTAAAACCCTTTACTAACTTAAGTATCAGAGTGTCTACTCTTGGGAGACCCCCGAGGCTCTATGTTGCAGGCGACCCTAGCCGGAGTTTCACTGTTAGACCGGCGGTGTAAAACCAAGCCTCGTTAAACACATAAAACATCTCTAGCCAATCTAGCTAAATCTGGGTAACGATATGCATGAGCTTTCCAATAATCAAGAACTTGAATATCTGAAGTTCTTTCAGGCCTTGGCTCATCTAAATACAACTCCAATTGGCTCTGTTTTTTTTTTTTTTCAAGATAAAGATTCGAAACTGTTAAACTGGTTGAATTCCTACAATATCTTCAAAATAGAAACATTCATAATAAAATTAATTATAATATAAATGTATATCCGCGAAATAAAAGAATAAGAAGACCAAAGTAAATTTTAATACCTTCCAAACATCCTTAGATTGTTGGCGGCTTCTTCTACAGCTCTAGTAGTACGCACTTCATTTATAACTTGAGAACTCGAAGAAGAGGAAGCCATACCCTGAGCTAAATACTCATCAAAATGACCTTGAAGCGTGCTCTTCACTTTGGCTAATTGTTCAGACTTTGGACCATAAAGCTTATTATAGCTGAACTCAAGAATATTATACTTATATTGAGGATCAGACACCACGGCCATAGCCAACAATAAATTGAAATCACACCAATATTTGTTGAACTTTTCAAACATTTTATTGCCCATGTCTCTCATGAACTCATATGAGCTTTTACATACCTCTACCAACTTTAATGGCAGAAGAAACACTTTAGGGAAATACAAATTAGCTGTGGGATAAAGAGACCCTAAGAAAGCATTGGTTGCATCATAAAATACTTCAAGGAAACTGCATATTATTTCAATTCTCTTCCATTCTTTGAAACTTGGACAACTCGTGAAGTTAGAGTCACTTAATTACAATTGACAGAAGGCAAGACAATAATAAATTGCACAAGAAAGCATCCTATATGTGGAGTTCCATCTTGCACGCACATCTTGAACCAAAAAATTAAAGTTTGCACACAACATTTAAAAAACCTATCTTTCCCTGTTTGAAACCCCTTGATATATTTGACACATTCCTCAACGGAACCATCAACTATCTTGAGACCGTCTTGTACAATTAAGTTTAATATATGTGCACAACATCTTACATGAAACAAAGCCCCATCATGCACTAAAGCATTTTTCAGTTTCAGTTGAGACTTAAGAATCTCAACCCAACCATCATTTGAAGATGCATTATCTAATGTGATTGAAAATAATTTCTTCTTGCTAAATTGTGAATTTTTTCAACTAAAGATACGCCATTATAAGGAAGAGGCATATAAGAATTTTGAAGTTTCTTATGCAACACCCAATCGCAATCAATATAATGTGCAGTCAAACTCAAGTAACCATCAGAAGTTAAAAAAATTCGACTAAGACATGAACTTAACTCATCTCGGAGCCTACTAATTTGAGAAGAATGCTTCTTTTTCGCATTCATTCTAGCAGTATTCCTGTAACTTTCGGTTCCAAATACTTAAGCAGGTCTCTAATGCCCTCATATTCTACGAAAGTAAATGGTAAGTCATGTCTAATTATAGCTTACACTAACGATTCTCTAAATTTTTCTTGCTAAAACTGTGGGTTTCGAGTAGAAAGTAGTGCACCTTGTTCCACAGAGAGAATAAATTGGCCAATATCTTTGGTTGTCATTTTAACACATTTCTATATGTGATTTCCAGTACTATACTTACTTTCAGCAGAGTAGATTGCCCCACACTTTTTATATCTACACTTTAACTCCGCCCCAGGTTCCGCTTCAAACAAATCAAAGTACTTCCATAAATTAGAAATTAGTCTTCTTTTTTTCTTGCCACCTTTTGGTGCGGTTGCTTCAACTTGATTGAATACCATTTGGATCTGGAATGGTCATGTCGAGGTCATCATCATCACCATCATCATCAAAGTCAACTATATTTTTCTTCTTGGGCTTCATTTTTTTAACTACAAAAAAAAAAGAAAAATGAATATTAGTTAAAATATGATTATAATTATCTTTGTATCTCAAATAAGGAGACGAGCTAGTTAGAAGATTTTCAGATGTTATGTTTTATAAATAATTAAATATGGCCAAATTTGTTGATTGAGATGCTGAATGCAGCAAACAAAAAAAATCAAGACCCTTAGACATCAAAAAAAAAAAAACAAATCATACCCGTAGCCCCCCCACCCACACACAAAAAACCCTAACAAATATCACTCGTAACCACAAAAAAAAAAAAATTGAAGACCCGTAAACCCCAAAAAACTAACAAACAAATCATACTGCCCGTAGCAGCACCCCCCACCCCCCAAAAAAAAAAAACCTAAGAAATCACTCGTAACCAGAAAATAAATAAATATAATAAATAAACTAACCAGCTGCAAAAAAAAAAAAAAAAAAATCAAGACGTAGACCCCAAAAAACAAGCAAACAAATCATACTACCCGTAGCCTAACGAGCAGGAAAAAAAACCAAACAAGATCCATCAGAAGGTGATCATAAGAAGTTTTATTTATTTTTTTTAAACAGGAGAACACAAAAGTAGTGAGATCTCAAATAAAATCCCCTTTTTATTATAATAATTCATTAAACATATATAAAAAAATCAAGCAACAAGTATAATAATCCAAAAAAAGGCAAAATCGATGCATGCGAAATTGCAAACCAAGATTACAAACGTAAACTACGAGTTTATAAATGACTAATTAAGTAAAGCATCATAAGTCTAATCCGTAATCCTTTACCTTTAGTCTGGAAGGAGAAACTGATGGTAATTTTAGAGATAACACATATTTAATAAGAAATGGAGAAGACAAAGAGGGCACGCTGACCGTTGAAAATTGAAAGAACAAAAGGGTGGCGGTTGTATCAGATGATTAGAATTAAAAAATAAACTATTATAAATGACACATATACTAGGTTTAGATGGTATCTTTTTAATAATTACTAGATGCTTGTCCCGGGCGAATGCCCGGAGTGCCGCTTGTATTTTTAAATCGATTAAATAAAAATACGAATCATTCTTAAAAGAATAAAAAAAATAAAAGAATAAAAAATTGATTGAAAAGACAGAAAGTTAGTTATTATACATAAATCTATGCCCAAATTTATAACATTTAATTTACAACAGTTAACTTATGCCCGGGTTTACATAAATCATAAACCAATATCTACAACAGAAGAATAAAAAAAAAATCATCCTTAAAAAATCAAATTTCTTTCATAACAGCTTATTTTGTCTTTTTTGTAGAAAGAGATGGATTGATAATTGATGTCAGATTTTAAGTAATTGATTTAAAGGCTCGGGTGTGAGAGAGGAGCGGAATGGAAGAGATTCTTTGAAATTGGAGATTGGGAAGACATTATTGTGTTTTACTTGATTTAAGGGGATTTCCTTACATTTGATCTTATTAATTAAATATTGTTGTTTTAAAAGATTAGTATATACATATAATTAAGAGATTTTTATGTAGCTATAATTAAGGGATTTATGTATTTATCTATTCCATCGTTTTTTTTCTGATTAGTTAGAGTGTCACTTGTCAAAAATGATTTTGTACTGAAAATGAATTTTAGCAGAAAAATTTTCATTGTAGTGCTGACACATGTCCTTTTCGTTTGCTGCTTTAATTAAGTACTATAGATTATCTAATAAAGCCTCAAAATTAATAAATTAGTTAATTTGAATTTGAGGTCAAACGGGTCATAGCGGGTCGATTTGTTTTGTAAATGTGTTCACGGGTTTGACCGATTTTGACACGAACCCGGCAGAGCTCAACCCTAAACCGGCTTCGGGTCGTGTCAATTGACACCCCTAGACTCCATTCAGATGAATGATGAAGTATTCTGGACATCCACTAATTGCTTCTTTGAATCCCTTCTGTTGTGTCTTGAAAAACCACGGCAGATTATTACCAAGTTCGTTTTATGGGAATTCCTCAAAATTAAGGATTCAGAAACACTTGCGAAGGATTCAGTTTTGTAGTAGACCTATAATGGTGTCCCTGCGCTATCATCCCCCTTGGTTCAGGTGCCTGTTTTGAATCTGATAAGCTCATTTTTTTTCTTTTATCTCATTAAATCCTTTGTTCTTACTGCAATTCATTCTCATATGTGACTTCCTACGACTAAAAGTTTCTCTACCCTATAAATGGTTATGTTTTTTCAGTGTGGCACCAATGATGGAATGGACAGATAACAACTATAGGACTTTGGCCCGACTTATCTCAAAACGTGCGTGGTTGTACACAGAAATGCTTGCTGCAGAGACTATTGTCTTTCAGAAAGGAAATTTGGTAAACTTTTTCCCCCTCTACCTTTTCCTGCATAGTAGGACTTCATTGCCATAAGCTGAGAACTAGTTGTAGAGGTGCAGATTTTATATCATTCTAGTTGCTGCTGCTCTTTGTTTTATAATTTGCTGAGACTTATCTGTGGTACATTCTGAATTTGTTTCTTTGAAAACATCGTTAAGTAGCTAATCAGTCTCTTGCAAATTGTGGGTTTTTGACTTCAAACTTATTTTCTGAAGGTAATATGCTGAAGGTAATACAAGATGTCCATATGGAATTGTATATGATAAGATATCTTGTTTGTTTGTTGGTTTTGATCTTAGAATATTTCTGCAGTCAATTTGTGGTCTTTTTATCCTTATCGGTAGGGAAGTTAGGACTGACTTAGCTTCTATTTGAATCCAATGATAAGTTTTCAGAGGTAAGATTTATGTGTATTTTCTGGGGATATTTCAGGACAGATTTTTGGCATTTGGACCGGAGCAGCATCCAATTGTGCTTCAGATTGGAGGAAGTAATTTGGAAAACATTGGAAAGGCAACTCAACTTGCAAATTCCTATGGATATGATGAAATCAATTTCAAGTTTGTTTTCTTGTGCTATAGATCAACTCTTGATTTGCCTACTTTGTGAATTTTTGAACTGAGATTCCAAAAACTTTTCTGTCAGTTGTGGATGTCCCAGTCCAAGAGTAGCTGGACATGGCTGTTTTGGTGTACGCCTCATGCTAGATCCCAAGGTACGATTCATGGTTCGTTGAATTGTGATTTGAGTCTGATCTATTCCTGAATAGACTCTGATTTTGTGATCTTGACATGTCTTCTTTACAAGGAAAGTTTGTTGCTCAAGCCATGTCAGTAATCGCTGCAAATACAGATGTTCCCGTGAGTGTCAAGTGCCGAATAGGTGTTGATGACCATGACTCATACAACGAGCTTTGTAAGTTTTGTTAAGAAGATTTTCTCTTAGAATAACCTAATAGACAGTGACTTCTTAGAATAACCTAATATAAAAAAATTTTAAAATCAACTCGTTGGCTGATGCTTTAGTTAGGAAGAGTTCCTTATGGGAAAGGGGACCTGTAGCTATATGTATATCCTTGCTTCACAAGATATGGGCTGTTGATTTAGTAATATTTTTTGGCCCCAACACTGGTAAAGTTATTAAGAATTGTGTGGAATCCAATCTAGTCCTTTCATGGGGCAGATTTGCAGCTTCTAAAATTTTTTGATAAATGAAAATGAAAACCCTTGTTTAGAACTTTCGGAATAAGCAATTGTATTCCTTTCCGTTGGAGTGCAAAGAACTTTCATATCTGCCTGCAAACTTTTGGCGATACCATCAAACATGACTTTAGTTTGGGACAGTACACTGAATTATGTGAGGGAAGATTTAGGAAAATCTGGTATCTCGGGTTCAAGGTGGATTACATGTTTGTGGGTAAGGAAAATCATTTAGGTGATTACGTAAACATTGAATTGTTAATCTAATGGATTAATTGAAAATAAGGAATGGTTAAATGGAGATGAGAGTGTGGTTGATAAAGCTTTTACTATGAAAGACGTCACGAAGGAATCTAATTAGTTAAAGATATATATAAAATTTGACTGCTTAGTTTGGATGTTTGTGGTAATGTTTTGTACAAATTCACTTCCTTTTTGACCTTTTACAGTTTCTATCAGCAATTTTTTCCTGAACATACTGGATATGTTGTTGTAAGATTTCTCCTGACCTTCTCTTATAAATTTTAGGCGATTTTATATACAAGGTTTCTTCACAATCACCAACCAGGCATTTCATTATACACTCCCGAAAAGCATTGCTGAATGGACTTAGCCCTGCTGAAAATAGAAAAATTCCTCCATTGAAGTATGTATATTACTGGTGTTAGTTTAGTCGCTTCGTTTTTGTTGTGGTAGCTTAAGTTTGATCTTTATTTAGCATTTAATGAACTTTTGGGGTGCCTTTTGGATGCTGTGGTTGACTGGAAGCGTTGTTAACCTTCTACCAATTTTGGTCATGCAGATATGAGTACTACTATGCTCTGTTGCGTGATTTTCCTGATCTACGATTTACTATTAATGGAGGGATAAACACGGTTGGCGAGGTAAATTCTATTCTTTCCTTATAAATTGGAAATGTGAGTATATTTAAAGTATTTCAGCTTTGTGGTTTAGATTTCAAGGTTTTCGAAATTTATGGCCAACAAACTGTGGGTAAAGAGTCTCTAAAATAGATGCATCATAACTTATTTTGAGAAATGGGCCCTGCTTCAAACTTTATAGTTTTTTAGGCACTTCAATGCTATGAACTCATGGCAGTACTTTGTGGTCTCTTTGGTATTGATTGCTTAATTGACATTGACATCAAAGTTTAGTGTATGTTCCATCAAACAAGGATGATGTTTGGCCTGTTATGCAAGTAGGATTTATGTCTCAAGGATTGTATTTCTCTTTGGTTTCTGAATTTTCATATTTTGGTTTTTATCTTTCTAAATTTCTTTTGCCCCTTTACCATTTATCCCATATATCTATTGTGATTTTGAACCTGAAGGATATGACATGTCAAAGGTCTCGAAAGCATTAGTCATGTAAATTACCATCGAAAAGTGACACGTGTTATGTGTTATCAAGCATTAGTGCTGATGAATTTTGGTGGGAGTTCATTAATTTTATCATCTAATTATTTTTCCAGATCTACGTTGCGTATAACCCTCAACCCGTCATAATGTGTTTCCTCAAGTCCATCAATCCATTGTTGTAGTCCCGAAAAATCGAATATGTCACCATTATTTGAAGCAACGTGTATGCCTGAGGAATTGGAGTTACTAATATGGGTTGAAGCTGGTTGTTTTAGTTGTCTTTGTGACTGAATGTAACCTAGCTAGTGCTTGTGCATCTGTAGATAAGGGTTCTTTTAATAGGAAAAAAGTTCCCAGAAGTGGAAGGATCACCAAGAAGTGGTGGGGTGATAAGGGTGCTTTTTGGGACCTTATGCCACTTGACTGTGCCTTTTACTAGTTGCTAGGTTATTGACATGAAACCCAACTTATCAAGATCAAGTTTCAGCACCCCCCCTCATCTTCACTTTTAGTGCATGTTACTTGTTGCTATAGTATGGTGCTGAATCCAGAAGAAAGGGGTTTTTCTGATTTCCGTGCTAAATCTATGGTAAGCAATTGATAATAGGGATGCAAGACACAAAATTCTGTGCTAATGCCAACACTTAAGAAGATAAAAATCTGTGACAAGTGTGAACAAAAATAACTTAAGAAAGTGGACAGCAATTATTCCTAGAATGTGATAAGAGTGATTCATTTCTTCAAATTATGTTGATTAGTGCCACGCAGTTTATGCTAATTATCGGAGTACATAGTATTTCTCTATGGTTATTCGTAGTCATTAGAATTAAATGACAACGATACATTTCCTATTCAACGAAGCCCTTAAATCAAGATCATTTAATGTATTGTATCTACCCATTCGTTCTCACTTTTACTAAACTAGTGCACTTCCAACAACTAAGGTGCTGCATTTATGGAAACAAAGCGTCACTTGTAAAAACCTATGATATATAACTAAAAGGACGTGTTCAAGAAAACTAGACCCTCTCTTAAGAAGATAAAGATATGCCGTTTGATAGAACTAAAGCCGTGTCTCCAAAATCTGATTTCTATGGCTTCTGTGTGAGTCAAAGTGAAATGGTACTTACTGATTGCTAACTTTGATATGAACGGTAACGGCAGCAAACAATGACAGTTCATATTTTGAGCGAAGCACTAAACTTTCCTTGATGCTTCCCTCTCATTCTAAAAGCCAAATAAGCTTCCAATTGGTGGGCCAAATAAACTTCCAATTAGCGGGTCCATCAATCAAGTAATCTTTCCAGCGGTGGGTCAATGAATATTTGTTTTTTAAACTATGATGGGACTTGAAATGGCTTTGACTTTCATTATTCTTGAGTTCAAGGTTAAATGAAAGATTCAAACATTAAGAGATGACATCATTCATTGTTTAACCTTTTTTAGGTGAATGCAGCAATAGCAGAAGGTGCTCATGGCGTAATGCTTGGTCGTGCAGCCTATAACAAGTATGAATATTTTTTCCAAACATGAACATTTAGTTCATTTATGCTGATATTTCTTTCATTTTAAATGTTCTATTTCTGGAATGATGATTATTAAACTTTACAAAAATCTCCGCAATTGGAATGTGCTTAGTCAGCAAGATAACTTCATCTGCTCTTTTAAATTATAATTTCTTTTGAAAAAATATTTGTTGCGCTCAGGTGCCGAGGGGAATGAGTAGCGCATTCTGCTTCCAGACAAAGAATCCTCTTCTCTGTTTTCTTCCCCAAATAATTGAGTTTTCTTGCTCATGGGAAACCTTAGATAGAAATAAGGGGGGGTTTGTTTGGGGGGGGAGGTGGTGATAAATAAAAGGCTTCACATTGCATATTATCAATGATTAGCCTACCTTTGATTGTTCTTTGTAGTTTGCCTATTACTATGAAGATATTTATTTTGGGAAGTTCTCCATCAAATAATAGGTTGATACATTAGACAATATTATAAACAAGTTTTCCTATACCCGAGTAATTTCCTGCTTTAAATTTCTTGTATGAGAACTATTGCTCTTTTCTCTCCTGAAATAGCAGTCGTGCGTCCATGTATTTTAGTTGCAGAAAATTGGACTATTATTATGGTATGGAGGGAGAAAGCTTAGAGGTTGGTTCCGATGGGTGGAAATTGGGAGGCATGAGAAACATAGTGTATCATTACAATGGAAGTTGCAATTGTTACTGTATCTTCTTGTTTTAGCTTCATACAATATATTTGGGAAAGTTACAGACAATACATTGTTGTCAAATAACATATACCTCTGATATCATTGCAAATCATTTTCAAGCATTTTTTTCTCTTCATAATGTGGGAATAACCATGTGCATGGTTTATATCATTATCTGTAAAGAAAATGTCTTTTCTTATTCTTGAATGAAATGCTACATTCCAGCCCCCTCCATCTGGTTTCTACGTAGTCCATTTTTCTTGTTGACTGAAACAATATCTACTGTTGCAGTCCATGGCAAACTTTGGGTAATGTAGACAGTGCAGTATATGGTGAACCGCACAGTAGTTTAACCAGGCGTCAGGTTCTACAATTTATTTATGCAAAATTCCTTTGCCCAATTACTATTCTTTAGCTGGCGATATATTTTCTTTTACCTTTTCCATCTTTTCCGCCTAGGTCCTTGAGAAGTATCAGGTGTATGGTGATTCTGTGCTTGGAAAATACGACAATAGACCCTCGCTTCGTGATGTTGTTAAGGTATGGGTTGGCGATTTATTTAGTTTAAATTTCTTCATTTCTATATTGCAAGAGAAATGTGTCTGTTGGCATGATGGGTGCTTATTAAGCTGTGGTTTCTTCTGCTTGTTTTTGGATCTCTATTTCCCTATTGAAAGACACATCGCAATCCATTTCTTGTTTCCCGAGATTTTCAATCCCATATGGATGGCTGATTCATCTGCAAATGTTTGTTTGCTATATCTCGTGTGCTCGACCATATCTTGTCTGCTGAGCCATCTGCAAATGTTTATTTCCACTTTCTGAAAAAAGAACTGTGTTCTGCATGACCATTTGAACGCGAGTGGAATATAATTGTAAAACTTAAGAGTTATTACACTTGTGAGGCAATATATCTTTTTCACATTGAGAGTAAATTACCTCCGCTAGAGTTATTACAATGTGTTTGTTACTGAATCTGAAAGTTTCAAAAATTTTTTGACTGGCCTTCACGCTTGATTTGGGGTCTCTTATATTTTCATATTTGAAGTATGGCGAGGTCACTCATATGATATTTCCCAGTGCAAATTAAGAGATAACTTTCTATTGTCCCCAAGAAGATGAGAGATTTGTGATGCAATGCTTCTCTCCTACACCTTAATGGGCAAGAAACGGAAAGGGTCTTGCTTCCGTTGTAGTTCGTTAAACCGCATGACTTAATATTGTTTTTCTTGATAAAAGTGAATAGCTGCATGAGGACAGAATGAGATTTTGGGAAAAATTGGGTACCGTCCAAGATTCCTTCCCCTTTAATGTTGCTTTGTGGAGGAAATGTAAGGCATTGGATCTTGAGGACTGTATTTGTTTCGGTTTTGATGTATTTACTTGACGATAAGAATTGTGCTATTAAAATAACCATGCGAATCCTTCAGATTGTAGATTACAATTATGGTCCGTTGATTGTCCTAATTTATCCTTCTGAGCAATAATAGGAAGTGGGAATTGATATAACCTGAATGCAAACAGTAGTTTCCTTAACTAATCAGGATTTAGCTAGTGCCTTTAAAATTACTGAACAAGTTTAAGCTTTAAGCTGTCATTATCATTAGTTTAATGTCCAAATGAGGCTCATGTTTCATACTCTCCTATGCAAGGCAAGAACCTTGTTCAAATTATGCTCCCTGGTAGAAACTGATATTGAGCTAGTTTAAAGTAATCCAATCCAACATTTGCCAGCTTGTGTAGCTCAATTAGCAATAATGACATCTAAAACTTAGAAGTTGTATTAGTTTGTGCTTACTTTTTGACAGGGGATTTGTCTATCTGTTCTGTAATTAATTGGAGCCTCTAGTTTTTCAATTTCTTTTGGGACTTTCTGTTGATAATTTATTCACATTTGACTATTTGCATTAACTATTCCAAAGCTCATAGAGAATGAATTGAGTGATCAATATGGTCCTTTCTAAAATTTCCTCTTGTTTGGTTGGCGAATAATCACATGAGTCATGTATTGGAGTCAGCTTACTTAATAATTTAATTGTGGTTTATATGGTCTAAAATAAACAGGAATCAACCTTTTACTTGAACTATTTCTTTTATTTAACAGTTTATAGAGTTCTTAATTCTCCCTCACTTGAATCCACCTCCTGCTGCTTTCATAATTATTGGCAAATCTGTCGTGTTGCCTTCGATTTTTAAGCTGCATTGTGAAACACTCTATCCATCGAATAATTCTTTCATTAAGTGAATGAAGTTAAAGATAATCCAATGCAGTCAATTCTTGCATGCTTTTCATGGGAAGTTATGCTGCCTAATGTGATTGGTTCTATTTCGTGAAGAGATCTAGATAGGTTGATCTAGTTGTATTATCGATAACATGATTGTATGATGGAAACATATGCTTCCTGTAACTAGATGTTTTGGTCTCAATACCACATTCTCTCTATTGTAGCCTTTGCTTGGTCTATTTCATTCTGAGCCCAGAAGTGCCCTTTGGAAACGCAAAGTTGATTCTGCATTTCAATACTGCAAGGTACGTATTCACTTGGAAGTATTGCTTATATCTCAGTGTTTCGTAAATTTAGTGTGAAATTTCCACTTCTTTGTATGTTGAAAAACTTCGTTTTTATTGTCCAGTTCTTACATCTCCACTGTCTTGTATAAATATGCACTTGTGTGCACTGTAAATGACTATTATTATTATTATTATTATTATTCTTTCATCCCCATATTCTAAGGGCAATAACTATCCAGAATTGCTGTGTATCTGTTACTCCCTTTTCTGGGTTAATGTGCCATTTTTATGCTTGGAAGTATGTATTCTGAAACTCTTGTATGTGCTAGAGCTGTTCTGCCAAATGATTTGATGCGTCACCTAGAAATATCTTTCTCCTAGTCTGACTTCCATTGCCACCCTTCAGGTACAAAAGAATTTAAAAGGAAAAAAAAAAAAAAAACTAGAAAGGTAAATCATTCTGCTAGGTAGATAATAGATTCCTGAATGGGACACCTTCTCGGCACCAAAGATGTGCTCTGGTCCAATAGTAGCTTACAGCTATCAAAATTAGCACTCTATATGTTCCACCTAAAATAGTTGTGTTTTTGAAGCATGAAATGGGTCATACTGGTTGTTCGTCTTAGGTACGCATTTATACCAGTTGAATGCTCTGAGGATCTCAGTCCTTCTTTGATCTTTATGCTCTTTCAACTCTTTACATAATAAGTTGTCCATGTATGTTATAAGACTCTTATTTTGGATGGAGTTTCATTATAGCATTTGTTAGATGTAGAGGAGAGCAAAAATACAGTGTTGAAGTGGTGTTATAACTCTTCTTCATATGGGCAAACAGTTCTCTTCAATGTTAGCTTATAGCGAAATACAAAGATTCTGAGCCGGTGTTGCTGAAAATCTATTTTGACTTTGAAATTTATAGGGTAACGGGTCCACTTTTTGGGTTCTAACATGCAGTAATGTTGACAAACCCAATATTTGGTTTATCAACTTTGGCCAGTTACTTGGCACTCCTGTGTTTGTATGTGACTAAGGTTTACATTCGATAAAGAATATGAAGCAAATAGTTTCATGCCTTTTTCCTCTTGTTGACATGGTTAATTTGTATCGTACAGACAGTTAAAGAGCTTTTGGAAGAAACACTAGTAGAAATTCCAGATTACGTCTTGGATTCACCTGTTCGGGAGGTACCAGTTGGTTGCCTTGATACTTTTGCGAACTCGAAGAAATTGTTGCCTCCTCAATACTCAAGATGGGAAGAAGACATAGTCATGTATGCTTGATACTGTTAGGTACCTGCTGATTATTCTGGCGATTTTTGATTGATATTTTACCTATTATTTCGGACTGTAATACAGTAATAGTAATCATCCCATCATGTAACATTGTATTCAAAGATGTAGGGTATTGACATTCCCTTTAGAAAGCGAACCAGGTTAGCTACTAATCTACTATCATTTCAATTTTGAAGAACGAAAATGATGTAGCAACTTTTAACAAAAACCAAATTATTCCATATCTGAATACAAATATTTTGCACAATCATTACATTTATGAATAATTTGACATCAGCACTATTTTACTGAATTGATTTTTGATTGGGTATAGCATAGCATAATACTATGTTTTTTTTTTTTTAAATTAATCGCACTTTTATTAGTGCTTGTGGAGGGAATCAATTCCTTGTCGACGGGAGAAGGGGCAGCAGACATGGAGAAAAAGAAACTCACAAGATGCTCTTACAGTACCTGAATAAGTAGCAAGTCTGGATGAACTCTCATATTAGGAAGAAACTGTAATTTCTATCAAAACTGTAATTCCTTTTTCCGGCCAGCCCTCCCAAGTGACACTCTGTTGCACCGGCCACTGTTGCCGGCCGGCGGAGTGAAGACAGGTCTCCGTCGTCGACGACAGGGATTCTCCTTTCCAAAACAGAGGAGAGAAAACAGTAAAGAAGTAGAGACTGTAGTATAGTGAACTACGTGAAGGAGGGGAATATAATCACATCACAGGATTCGAGCTGACTGATTGCTTCTAAGCATCAGAATAATAACACGTTTTCGAAAAAAAAAAGAAGTATATAAATAAAAAAGGCTGTGAGAAAACCACTAATCAGACTGTAATGCATTTTTTTTTTTTGCATTATTTTGCATGGTAGTCGTCAGATTCCATTCATTCACCACTCCAATCACCTCAACTCCTTCACAAAAAAGCCACACACACACACACACACACATCTCCACTAACCCAACTAGCCAGAATTCCTCTTTTTTGGGTGTTCTGAAAATTCGTAATCAAAATTCCTGCTTTTTTTTGTTTCGGGTGATGAATTTGGTTTGTGGGTTCCCACGCACTAATCCAAAACAGGTCCCAGATTTTTGTTGTTTTTGATTATTTTTTTTTTTGTTTTTGGATGATGTGATGCCTTTTTGCTTTTTACTTATCCAGTCTACTTAACATGATCATGATCATATATAATGTATTACTTAAAATCATTCACTCTTGATATCCTCTCAGCAAAGTAAATGGTAGCTGCTTCAGGTTTGTTTTCTTCCTTATTTACTTCTTAATTTACTCTCGGCATGGATAAGCTACCTTTTAGTTTAGCTTTGCTTTTGATGTGAATTGAATCCTTTTTCTTATTTTTTTAAAGAAAATTTCTTGCTTTGCTTTCTTGAACATTGATTAATTTATGGCTTCATTATTTTTAATTCTACTTAATAAATTTCCGTACTTGTTTTTGAAAGCTGTACTCATCTTGGATTTTGTTGGCTGGTCCTCTATGGCTGTTATCTATATAAGAATGGTTAATTAGCCCTTCTTTCAGTGCTTCTCTGTACTTCTTTCTATGTGAGTACTGAATGGTAATATGATGTGGTTGATTATGAACAAGCGTATTAATGGCATTTTCTCAACAAACTTCAATGCAAATTGTGAAGAATTGATTGAATTAGAGGCTGTATTCGTCGCCATGGGGTGTTTTCGATGTGTAATAGAAGGTTTAATGGCAAATCACTCTCAGGTTATCTTTTGATAAACTTTTTCCCCTTAACTTATTTTATCCCTTCAGTGCTTCTTGATCAGCAACCTTTATGATATACAAGGAATGAGAACTTGAGGATCTTAAATGGCTCTTCTAACTTCAGAGATTTTATTTTTCCTCTTTTTCTTCTTGTCTCTCCCCTGAAACTTTTTGCCTGTATATCAGTGGATGCTACTTCTTTGCTAAAAAGTTCTATAGTGAAGAGCTAGTAACACATATTATTATCAAGTACCTAGAAGATCAAGCGCAGAAATGTTTGAGATGGTAAGACTAATTTAGCTTGTATTGAATGCCTAAAAGATCAAGAAAGCAAACCGAATAAAAAGAAAAAGAAACAGTTTTTAAGTTATTTTAAATAGTACTTTACCATTCGATTAGGTTCCTTACGAATGAATGGGAAGATAAATTAATATTCTGCAGAGAGCACTGAATTCTTCTTCATTTAGTGTTGTTTTCTCTTATTTTCCCCTCTTGGATGGGATCGACTTGAGGGATTAAGTAGTAGCAGAAAATCGTTTATTTTGTACCGCGTTTGTACCTTTTTTTTCTGTCCTGTTTATTTCATAGCCATGATTGTATTCTATAATTTTTACTTTAAACAAGCGGAAAGCAGAAAGGAAAATGTTGAATGTAAGGTCATCTTTTGTGAAGGTGGATAAAACTAAAGCTAATTTAACTCGAGATGGTTGACTGCAAATGGCTACTCAATTCTGCTGCATTCTAATAGGAAGTTATTAAAAGTAGGGCTTTTTAACTCCCATCTAACCTCAAAAAGGAATTATTCAAAGGGAAAAAAAATATGGTTATGGAGGACAATGACAAAATCAATTTCATATAGGGTTGTCAGATATGAGCTTGATGCTAGGCTCTAATTTGTCAAGTGTTCATCGGTCTTGTCTATTCAGTGGGGGCAATGCATTGCAGGATATGAACTACCAAGATTTCCGTTTCCCACATGGTGTAGATATTGGTTTATTTTTCTGCAGATTGTCCTACTGGCACCAGAAATGCTATTGCAAAGAATTGTGGATTGTCTAATCAATTCTGCTGATAAGATGTTTCATCAGTTCGTAGTATGCACCTAAAAGGCCCAATCAACTTAATCCTATGAATATTGTCATTGAAGAAAGATTACCAAAAGCATGTATAGTACATTGGATGACACAAGACATCCATTTCTGTTTTAGACCTAAGCTGGAGTACTGTACCGGAGTGCTGTGAGGCAAAAGGTCCTTTAACTAGTTGTTCTCATGAAGCATCATAGTTATTTGCTTTAGAATTATGTCTGTTTCGGTAGCTGATCCTCATAGGTGTTTCCACATGTCTTTTTCTTCTTCTTTTCAAGTTCTTATATTGTGACTATCTAATGTCACGCGCTCTTACCTTCTGCGTTGTTTCTCTCTCAAGTAGATCATCCGAAGAGAGACAAAGGTCCATTGTTGTCTCCTATGGAAGCTAGCGGAAATTACATCAGTAGCACCTCTTACCATGGGCGATTTCATTTAGAGTGTTTGGTTTTTTTAATAATGCTTCTACTTTTCTCTTCAGGAAGCTATTCATCTAATAAACCTGATGTTGAAGGTATGAATGTATCTACTTTTAGCTAGAACTTTAATTGTGCCGTATTGTTTGTGATTACGACTATACTAGTTAAGTCAGTAGAGTTAATTTCCTTAATGACATTATGCTTTTTAAGCATCAAATGTTGGATCCCCAGCATATTGCTCAGAGCATATGCCTATACACATAAATCATCTGCTCATCTTGTATGAAACAGTAAATGAATACTGGAATGATGACCTCTTGAAGCTATAGCATGCTCCTGCTAATTAGACTTTCAACTTAAAAAGTTCTTGACCGAATTGAATAGTTGAAATGAACTTAGATAAATATCTCTAATGGTTTTTGATAAGAAATGTACTGCCACTCGTATTGCATGTCAACATTTAACCAAATATGAGACCGTAGACAAAAGGCAGCATTGGTTCAATCAAATGCTCCGAAATACTTAAGAAATGTTCCTATGTTTGTCTTCGATTGCATCAATATTCAATGGGAAGTTTTCTTAGTTACTACATAAATAATGGAAAGTTCATTGTTGTCAATTGTATCAAAGTGATGACCATGTTGCTGTCGTTATTCTTGCTCGGGAAATTTATTGCACATCACGTGATGAATTTTCAGGTGAAGCTTTAATGGAGTTCTTAACAGCTCTGAATGATTCCAATCACAGACTTAACTGGAATTATTATTTTGTGAGCCCTTGTTTCAGTTGGTCTAATGTTACATGCATAAATGGAAATGTCGTATCCTTGTAAGTTTGTCTTCAGAATATAATGATCTGTTATCTTTTTCTCTTCTACTAGTTCAATTGGTGTGAATAACCCAAAGAAATTCAACTGATACTTCCTTGATTGTCTTACCTAATTTTGTACATGTTTGTCCATTTATTGATGAATGTGTCAATTTCCAGGAACCTAGCTTCTAATGGATTTTCTGGAACTCTTTCTCCAGCGATTACCAAATTAAAGTTTCTGGTTAACTTGTAAGTTTTGCACTCGAATGATGATTCACGGAGTTTTTTTCTTTTCCCTGCTAGTTCTCAAGTAACTTCTTCTCCTGAAAATAATGGTGTCAGTTTTGCAAATTCTGCAAAAGGTTTACTGCGCTTATCTTGCAGGCCTCAATTTTGTCTGTTTAGTAGTGCATTATTAGAATTTTCTATCCATTCTCGTTATAAAGTTATGCAATACAAGAAAAACGGAGAAAGAATCAATTACAATTTGAACGCCATAACTGCTAATTATCAAACTTTAGTAAGCATTTTAAGTGGCTCACATTATCTTTGAGTTGAGATAAACAAATAATCTTTTTTCAAAGTTAAGCACACTGACGTGCTGCTTTAATCTTTTTGTTCATGGTCACTTTATGAATGACTGAGAAACATTCAGGTGCAGATTACGTCTTCTGATTGTGTGCCTTAAACCTACAGGGATTTGCATGACAATGATCTATCTGGTGACCTGCCTGATTATCTTGGCAGCATGCTGCACTTACAGAATCTTAATCTTGCCAAAAACAAATTTACTGGTCCAATACCAACTACCTGGGGCCAACTTACAAACCTGAAACACTTGTAAGTTGTAAGCATTACTCAGCATGAATCAACCATTTATACTTACTACAGTTGTAAATATTTTCTGCTGAAAGACTTACTGAAGGTAGAGTCTCTATTTGGCATCAGGGTAGTGAAGGAGAACAACTTAAGCGGATCTATTCCTGATTCACTTGCTGGTATCTCTAGCTTGATGCAACTGTAAGAAATTGTTTACACTTCTATAAGTTCAATCTAAAGTACTTTTAGGGTCTTTTATCCAACACACTACTCACTGCAGCTAAATGATTTATAGGGATCTTTCCTCTAATGATCTAAGTGGAAAGGTTCCAGTACAACTGTTTTCACTACCAATGTTCAAGTAAGTTTCATATGCCTATTCTTCTGTACTTCCAATGCATATTTTGTTTGCGATTATTACCTCTGATGCTTTGTTCATTTGCCAACAATGGATTTGAATATTCTTATGTGTGGCATCAAGTTTCTCAGACACACACCTTACATGCGGAGAAGCATTCCAGCAACCTTGCGTTTCAAGTTCCTTGGTTGCAGGTAACACCAATTGCTTCTTAGAACTAAACATGCTTAGGTTATCTACAAACAGTGACCCGATGGAAAATTTTCTGTATTTTCTACAGTTTCCAGCAAAAAGAGGAGAGTTGAGGTTATTATAACTGGTGTCGCTTGTGGTACATTTGTTCTTCTGGTGGTTGGCGCCGCTCTTCTTCACTGGTATCATAAAGTACGGAATCCAAAACGTGAAGTATTTGTTGATGTGGAAGGTAGGTTTTGCATTTCCATTGGTCATTCATTTCTTCAGAAACTGCTCTCTACTCTTGTCTCGGTGTATCTATTACACTTTAGCATGAGTTAGGGTCCATACAGTATCCATTAGGTAGTATTGAAGTATTGGTGATTTCTAAGCAAGGTTTCTAGACACTGGGGATAACATCTGCTATTAAAAGTCAAGTGATCAGGATCTTGTATGATTGTATACTAGACCAGAGAAAGCTTGTTCACAATTGAGATAATGCATTTTAGCTTAATTGAACCTGACTGATGTGCTAAATAATTTCTCCATGCAAGCTAGCCATAAGATGAAAGTATCTCTTGAACGTATGATTTTTTCACAAACCATGTCCTCTAGGGCAAACTAGAAGCAATGCCATTTAATGCACATGAACTGGTTTTTGGATTCTTGAATTCTGTAAATTTGACTGCTGAAAGTAAATGTATGTCTTCATCTAATTAGAACTTTTACTTGGAAGCTGACAAAATCTTGTGCATTTGCCTATTTGTATTATCCTTCAGGTGAAGATGACAGCAAAATTTCATTTGGACAGCTGCAGAGATTCTCTTGGCGTGAGATCCAGATGGCAACCGAAAACTTCAATGAGGCCAACGTTATTGGACAAGGAGGATTTGGAAAAGTTTATAAGGGGTTTCTACCAGATAACACAAAAGTTGCTGTGAAACGTCTCAGTGATTATCACAATCCTGGTGGAGAGGCTGCATTTCTCAGGGAGGTTCAATTAATAAGTGTTGCAGTTCACAAGAATCTGCTTCGATTGATTGGATTCTGTACCACCTCATCGGAGAGAATTCTTGTTTATCCGTTCATGCAAAACCTCAGCGTTGCTTATCGGTTAAGAGGTAATTAATCTTATAGTCTTACAGTTTTCATATCTTTGATGGATTACCTTGCCTGTCCATTTAATGGTTTTAGAAAAATTTATGTAATTATGACTGATACTACGTAATGATACTGTTTGTAACTTTATATTCCGTGGAAGTTTTAGCAACCTGATTTCTGCAGAATTGCACATACAAATTTGTAGGACTTTTCTTGTGATGAAGATAACTACCTGTGCTCCTCCTCATTTTTTTTTTCCCTGCTCGAGCTTTTTCAAGTGAGATGGATATGTGTGTATCCTGATTCTCTAGCTTGAACATTTCCTTGTTAGATGGAACCGTATAGGGTTGGTTCTCGTCAGCTTACTTTTATACAAACCTTTGGAGTTTCAACAGCATGTTCTCTCAATTTATCGCATTTTTTTCGGATTGGTGGGCTCAGTAGCCTTAGATATTACTGCTAGGATGCACAAAACGACCTCCCATTTTATCAATGACCACTGGAAAAGAACGATGGAAGAGCTGCTTTTTTTTTTTTTAAAAAAAAGACGATGGACGAGCTGCTATTCAACCAATATGAAAAAGAAAAGTGAGAGAAAAACTTTCAGAAAAAAAATCACTCGTTAGGATAGGAAACAAAAGGTAAGAAAGTTGATAAGTACCTTTAATTGAATCATTTCCATCTCAGATGGATGGAGAAATCTTTACCATTCATAGATGAATGATCGTTGACAATGCATACAGAAAATACAAAGGTTATTGAGAATTACTCTTTTGCTTTTATTTTGTGCTCTGCAGCTTCTGCTAAATTTAAAGTATCTGTGTCACCTACTAATGCTAATTTCTGTGGCTTCCAATGTGTCGTACATGCTTTGATTATGAACTAAGTTGATCTATTTCTTATCTGTAAGGGTTTGAGCTAGCAGATTTTAAGTTTGGAAATTTCTATCGAGGTTTGTTGAAATGAACTACAAGTTGGCTCTTTTCATCTGGAATGATAAAATATAATCATGGATCTAAAATTTTATAATGCCTTGCCTTAAGCTTGTTTGGATATCCAAGGATCACCTGGTCCTAAACTAAAGAGTTTCCATCTTCCCGATCATAGAATGAAAAAAATAACTAGGTAAGCGGCCGAGAACATTCTTGGTGTATTGCTTGACTCAGAAATGAAATTTTCCTTTAAAACCTTCAAAGATGTGGGATAACTTCAAAACAGGACTTTGAGTTTAGTTCTTTCTGGAAAGGAATACAAAACTTTTTGGAAGAAAGAAACATCATCAGATATTACCATGTGCTACACTGAAAATAAAAAATAAAGGCTGCCATGCTGATATCTTCTGTATGGATTTCCGATACAGCATGCAGCCAGTTTGATTATGATTACTATATCAAGAAATAAGAAGGAAAACTGGCAGTTATAGATTCAAGGGTAATTTTCAATTCCAATCTCTCCTTTCCAGGTTGTCTTGGTTTTACATTTTTCTCCATGTTGATATTTTTGTTACTAGCTATTTTATGTCATCACGATCTATGAATGTTATCCTTATCTTCAGTGATGATTAAACACTTGTTTGTGGCTCATGATAGAACTGAAACCTGGAGAGAAAGGTTTGGACTGGCCTACTCGAAAGCGGATAGCTTTTGGTACTGCTCATGGCTTGGAGTACTTGCACGAACATTGCAATCCAAAAATCATTCATCGCGATTTAAAGGCTGCAAATATCCTTCTTGATGATGACTTTGAGGCTGTTCTTGGAGATTTTGGGCTAGCAAAGTTAGTGGATAACCGACTGACTCATATTACGACTCAGGTTCGTGGAACCATGGGACACATCGCCCCTGAATATTTGTCAACTGGAAAGTCATCAGAGAAGACAGATGTGTTTGGATATGGGATTACTCTTCTGGAACTTGTATCTGGTCAACGCGCCATAGATTTCTCTCGGCTCGAGGAAGAGGAGGATGTTCTACTGCTTGATCATGTGAGTTATATGTTATTCAAGTGCTCTTTTTTATAAATCCAAAGGCGCGTTCATATTGCTGATGATTTTTGGCATCATGAGTATTACCAATTCTATTTATTTGTAGCTCTAAGGTCTTTTTTCTCTTTCATTACTGGGCTAATCTCTTCATTTCCTGCAGACCAAAAAGTTGCTGAGAGAGAAACGGATAGAGGACATTGTGGATCGGAACTTGAATAGTTATAATGCTAAAGAAGTAGAGACAATCCTCCAGGTGGCATTGCTTTGCACTCAGGGTTCTCCCGAAGATCGTCCAAGAATGGCAGAAGTCGTGAACATGCTGCAGGGTGTCGGGTTAACTGAAAGATGGTCAGAATGGGAGAAGCTTGAAGAAGTGAGAAATCAGGAATTCTCCCTCGTGTCCCACTCCCACCAGTTTCTTTGGGCTGATGAATCCACCCAAGACCAAGAAGCTATTCAGCTGTCCCAAGCAAGATAAAGAAACACGCTCTTCTTGCGTGCCAGGACAATTTGCTGAGTTATAGAAAAACTGTACAAATTCTCTCTTAAACTATGATGGCATATAGCGAAAATTCCGACCTTAAATCTGCTGAGTTTGTGCATGTTGAGAGGGGAAGAGGAGTTCTGATGTTCAAGCACACTATATATAGATTTCTCAGAAATAATTTCGGAATGCAAATATTTGCTAGAGAGATGTACTTTAACTTACTAAAATGAAACAAAAACGAAGTTTGTTAGTTATCATGTAATGCATTGAATATATAAAATAGTTTGTTGAAGATCTAGCTCATTTTACTTACTTTCAAGTTCTACACATTTAGAAAGATGTTCCAGCTCTCTAGTACTAATGTCTCCAAGTAATTGCTTCTTGTGTGCTTCAGAAATGACACTCAGAAATCTCAAGGCCTCCGATTGTTGTACTAATGCAAGAAAGCTGATCAAAGATGCAATTGTAGAATCTTTCCAAGCAGGGATTGAAGTTGCTGTTTTAAGATAAGTGATTAGTGAAAAGTTTTCTCCTCTTTACCATTGGTGGGACCTCGGGTCGAAATCAGGCATATTTCAAGGAATCTTTTGGACTCATTTAGAAGATATTGTGATCATAGCAGCATTCATGTATGCATTCTCTTTATGAAAACCCGGGCTGATGATGAGATGGATTAAGTTTGTTACACTTCACCCTGAAGTGTTGTAGGATTTCCTTCATTTTCTCTATCGAATCTTTCGGACCTGATAAAACTGGATGTTGAAAACACCAAAAGATTTCTGTGAAGGGAATGATTCATCTTTGGATACCTGAAGCTGAAAGCTGAAGGATTAATCTTTGTTGATTTGAGGCATAGTTGTTAGTATCGTACGATACGCGATACGTATCGCACGATACGATACAAAAATAAAGAAATTCGATACGTATTGCATGGGCGTATCGTAATTGACAAAGAATCGTACGATTCAATTTTGTATCGGTCGATTCGATACGTTCGTACCGATACACACGATACACTGTTTCATTGTAAATTTTTTCTATTTAATCTTACTTTTTTCAATTAATATTTTATTTCTTGTTTGGATGGTTCTATTTGCCAGATTGAAAACTAGTAATGCTATAACTCCTTCTCTTGATGAACACATAAAAAAAAAAAATTTAATCATCATATCAAAATAAATATCGCGATCTTTCCTTTATAAAATTTGCAAATGAAATCTAAAAAGTACAATAGGTCATGACTTTTCAACTTATTTAAAACAAATTAAAATACCATCATTATATTAAAAGAAAAATGGAATTATTATGCTTTTACTATTACTTTTCTTTATGTAGTAGACATATCTTTGGAAATATATAATGATGTTAGTTTGTATTTATCTTATTAATAATATAAGCTTGAATTTTTTAGATTACAATAGAGTTTATATTAGTAATAATTGGCAAAAAATTTGACTGTTTTTTCTATCTTCCGATCGTATTAATTGATGCACATTGGTTCAAATATATTTTCTAATCTAAGAATATGTTATCCTTGGATCAGAATAATACACTTATAATAAGAATTAAACAAAAAAAAAATGATAATGGCTTAAATTTTTCAAATTTTTAACTCCCGAATTTTTTTTAAATCTTTTTAAGTAATATTTATATTTTGTACAATATACAAATAAAAAAAATATACAATATTATATTTTGTAAAAAAATATGCTAATTAATTTAATTATTATATACAATATGTTTATTTTAGTATATATTAAAATCATAATGTATCTTACGATACGATACACGAGTCGAAAAACTAGAATTTCGATACACAATACGTATCTCGATTCAACAACTATAATTTGAGGAAACATTTATACTTCTATATTCATGTTCGGAAAAAAAAATTCAGAATCAAAATTCAAGTTATATACTTGGAGATAATGTATACAAAAGAACATAGTATTAACTTATACCCCCTGCATGTCCTTAAAAAATATTATCTACAAATAAATAAATTATTTTTTTCTGGAATGGAACGACTATAAAATAATGAAATGGACTACACAAGAGCCAAGAGTTATGTTTTCTTAAAACCCGAGATTTTAAACGATAATGACTAATACTCCCTCCGTCCCATAATTATTGTCCAGTTTGGGTTTTCATTTTTAGTTCAAATTGTACTAAAAGTGAAATTTCAAAGTGGACAATAATTTTGAGACAGAGGGAGTATAATATTTTTTACATTTTTTTTGATAATTTTTTTTTGATAAAATATTTTGTACATTTATTTGAGCATCCACAACAACCCTCCTTTTCGGTGTGGATGTAACTTGTAAGACCAAAAACACTCAATGGTCAGTGGAGAGTATATTATCTTAGTCACACTTGTCAAAATTGTTTCACTCAATGACCATGATATACTATATTTATCACAGACACACTTTGTCACAATTGTTTCTCATCAATAATAAACGGTGCCCAAAAAAGAAAAGTTTTCATTGAAATATTATATGTCGACCTATCTTGCACATGTATCTCCAAATAAAAAAGGAAATGGGCGTCGACAACCATATTACTCCGGTCCATAAATAATTAACTGTATTATCAAATTTTTTTAAAAAAACCTAATAATCGGTCTTGAAAATTAATTAAATATTTATATTTTCCCAATTAAAATATGTCATCTAGGTCTAGATTTAAAATATTATATTATTAAATTAAAGAAAACATAAGCTTAGAAAGACACAATAAACGTAATCTGAAAGAGATAAAATATCTTACAAAATAGGACAAAAATAAAACTTGAAAAATACCTTGTTATAAGAACCGATGAAGTATTATATAAATAGGAGTTATGCTAACCTTTTGTCTTATTTTGTTGTTTAAGGATTAGTTATTGTGTATCTTTAATGTTTATTAGTTGTTTTTTCATTTGCTTATTATTATTTAATTATATTTATTCAGGAACATTGATTTTTCTTTTTTTTTTAAAAAAACACAGGCACGGGGGAGATTAACTCTTAACCAGAACAAGCAAATCAGAATATCAATCCCTTACAAAATTGAACTCCCAAACGCTTCTTAAATCATTAAGAATAACATTTGTAACTTATTGTCTTCTGGCAAATATGTATTGAACTCGTCCATCAAGTCGGGTTGGTCCTGGAAAAGTGTTGCGACCTGTGTACATGCAAATCATCATTAACTTCTTTATCAATATTCTTATTATCTTCAGCAAGAATTGCCCAAACATAAATTTTAAAAAAAAAAAAAAGAAACCAATTCAATTAGTAAATTAATACTTCATCTGTCCAAGAAAAAAAAAAAGTCAATTTGTTAAATTAAAGAAGTACAATAAAGAAGACAGCTTTTTTTGGCGCGGAGGAAGAGGTTAGGTTAGGGTTAGATCAGAACAAACCTCCTGGTAGACTTCAATAATGCTCTTTTGTTCCATCCTGAAATTATTCAAAATGTCCAGGAAAGATTCGTAGGCATGACTTTCGCTTTCAAAACGTTTCTGCAGACGAGGAAAAGGCGAAAGAGACTGAACATGTCACAACCAATTACATACATAAAATTTACAAAATTAAGGTCATAAAAATAATGTAAACCTTAATCTTTGTTTACGAAAGCTATAGCTTCCTCATGCTCACGTGTTCGCTTGGGTAAGGCTCCTTCATCATCATCATCATCAGTTAGGGCGATTTGATACCGTTTGGGGCAATATGAGTTAAAATCAGGAATCAAGTTAGGATGCCCTTTGAAGAGATGTTTAACCCGCGCAACCAAATCCGTAATATCGACTCTGCAAGGAGTTAATCCATGAATGGATGAGTGATTATTAGCATGTTAAAATGAGAATGAAAATTTAAGCTTCTTTTCTGTTTTAGGAGAAGTTATTAATGTTGATGATCACATAGGTTAAAGTTACCTTTGAGCCACAAAATCCTTCAACCAATCACGGAACATATCATACTTCTCTCTTTGATCATGAAAAGTGTCCCGAACTTCCCTCATATACTCTACGGCATCTTTGATCTTAAGCCCGTTGCTTCAACCAAGAATGAGATGAACAAATCATGTACGTACAGAGGTTCGATATTTCGAAAAAGTGCTTCGTTACCAATAATCAATAAAATCGCACAAGAGCATTGGAGGTCCTTTTGTCTCACTTTAATTGTCCACCAGCAGATGGATAGAGATAAAAAAAAAACCTTCGCACTCAAATGATGATTCACTCAATTATATAGTCTAATAACAACCCTAATTACAATAAACTGGGGAGTAAAAAAAGCAAGGCATCCATGAGTTCTGATCAGAAAGTTCGAAAAAAAAGCCCTGCATGCTCTAGAAAATCAACAGGTCCACATAGAAAATCACAATTCATGATCTCCGAGCCTGAGGTACAATGACGTACACAACAAATATTCTACCATACGGATCAAATTTAAGCGTGAGGAAATCCAGTTAAAACGAAAGAAACATTATTGCACAAGAATTCCAAGTCAAAGGAAAAAAAAGAAATCAAATATAAACATGGAAAGGAGAGAGAAGTCTCTAACAATTCAAGCGAGGCAGCAGATGGTCCTGTAGCCGAAGGTTTCACAACATTATCATCATCCCTTTCACGGTTCATAACTGCGAGAAAAATTAACGAAAACACTGACAATAAGTTCATCCGAAAACATAGCGAAATCAAGCATGATAGAACACCAAATACAGTATTAATCCTCTAGTGATTATTATTAAAGAAAAACCATCAAAGAAAAAGGGGCAAGAACAAAACTCGAATTACAGAAGTAAACTAATTAATCAGAATAAAACAACTTGAATTACTTTTGAACACTCCTAACGCTCCTGCAATGACGATGTTCTTTGTCACTGTCCCAAATCAACTCGGAGTCTCTAACTGCAACAAAACAGACGAAAAGTCGGCAGTCTCTCGACTTCTCTTGAACTAATTTGTCACCCAAGGAAACTAACGCGCGAAAAAAGAGAACCAC